AAAAAAAAACAACAAATACTAGATATAGAAAAGCCCTCCCCACCGGACTTCAGCCCCATCACCCGCACGACCAAGCCAACACCGAAAAGCGAACAATCGGAAGAAGCTCCAACAACCACAGCCCAAACGAACCATAGATCTAGAATGACCGCCTCCGAAGCTCGCAAACCCGCCCAAGCCAAACCACTGTCACAGCCCCCACCACGCAAACTCCAAGGCCGGCACACGAACCGCCACTGCCGTCGAAGGTTCCGACCACCCGAACACCAGGGGAGGCCGGAAAAGGAGGGGTCCAAGGCTGGTTTACCACCACAAACGTCCATGGACGCCCGCAGCGACCGCCGGGCACCACGTAGCAACCTCCGCCTTCGAGCTCCAACCGCCATGGCGCTCCGAGACAAGAGCGGGACCACTTACGGGGAGGGAGAGACAAAACGGCCACCACGCCAGTGTAGGCGGGCCTAGGGCGAGCTCAATGCTCGCCTGAATCGCTAGATGACGAAGTCGCCAGATGGGAGGCAACTCAATTGAAGGCGGCAAGGGTTTACTTTTTTTCGATTTGGGGAGAGTAACGCGGTGAGGGTTTACACTTCCAATTGGGTGTATCATATTTATCTAACTACAACACTTTCCAATATTTTTGAAAAATCACACCGACAATTGGGTGTCCGTATTTATCTAACTACAACACTCTCTTACAGTTTGGAAAGAAATCCAAATTTATATAGACTGTTTAATTTATTTTGTAAAATATTGAATTTTGAAAAATCGCGAATACCTAAATTTTTCTATCAAAAATCCCGACTACATAAAATTTTCCATGACAAAATTCACCGATAATACTGTTTAATTGATAATGTTCTTGTTGAACAACATATTTGATCAACTAAAATTATAAAGTTAATGCTGTAAAATCGGGTTGAAATAATGAATTAGCGTGAAAATTGATTTTAGTGAGCTCAGACTTTCCGTCCGTTGAGGTCGGATTTTCACCTTAAATATGCTATTAAATGAAAGAATCTTTATCTTGTTACAGAGAGAAATTTTTTACTATTACTCTAAAATGAATTCTTAGGACTATTTATAGTAGGATTTGTCCAGCTATTGTTCACCGGGTTACATCAATTTAATGTTGAATGACAAACATTTAATGTGTACGCCTAGAAGTCTATAGGTATGCAAGGCAGGTGGCCACATCTCATCGGTCATCATATGACTGCAAGTGAGATTATTATATTATTCCTCCTTAGTGCAATTTGGAACCCCGACATGTGTAATACTTTTAATTTGGGGTCGGAGGGACTTGGACATTGTGTAGATCCGACCTGAGATCTTGTCTCTAATACTTAGCAGGATTCTCCTCCGACTCTTCTGACGCGTCAAAGTCGGGATACCAACATATGACTACCAACCCGTGGACTCCTCCGTCTCTAATACTTAGCATGATTCTCTGCACATTATTTGATTCTTAAATATGATTATATTTTTATCTTTCGTATTTCCTAATTCGGATGTCAACATTTTGTAGGCTTAATATATTTAATATTGTTGTATATAATATATATAATTTTGTTCTTAATTTTTATGCGATAGATAGGATGAATGTAATATTCATTAAATATTTATCATCATATATATAAAGAATACTACTTCTATGAGTGTAATAATAATAATAATAATAATAATAATAATAACAATAATAATAACAACGACATTATGTGACAATAAAATTTAGAATAAAATAATATTTAAGTATTATTATGATGAATAAAAATAAGTAAAATTATTATTTTTCTGCATCAAAAAATAAATGTGTTACATATAATATATATTAACATGAACAAGTCAATGTGTTAATATATTGTTAAAATAAATTTTTAAAAAGAATATTTTTAAGGTACAACTAATAGGTAAAAACCTATATAAGAAAAAAAATGCGAGGGAATGCCCATTTCAATCTCAATAAATCATGAAGAGGTAAAAACCTATATAAGAAAAAAAATATCAAACAGCTCATGAATGTCCATTTCACATCGTGAAATCAGAATAATGCAACGGACCCAACCATCGCTTGATGGCAAAATTCATCATTACTGCAATTGCACCAGCCGGGAATCGAACCCGGGTCTGGACCGTGGCAGAGTACTATTCTACCAATAGACCACTGGTGCTTGTTGAGACAGAATTATAATAGCATTATTACTCATAATTTCAACAGATAAACACTTTTCTATCCGCCGAAAAACAAATTGTCCTTTCCTCTCTCCCTTCTGGCCTCCTACCTCTCCTACCCAAACCACCGCCGGTGCCGGCCTCCACTGCCGGACCGGACCCGCGCAGTACCCACCTGAGTTTCCCGGATCAAGTGATTCGCTGGCGAGTCCGGCTTTTTCACCAAACTCGGCCGGCTTATCAAGGAGAAAGCCAAAAGCGACGTGGAGAAGATATTTTTCCGGGTTCTCGAAAACCAGGGAAAATTTAGCCGTTGTCGATGATCTTATGCTCTACTGTAACCTCTCCGATACAGACAGGGTTTTGGATGAGCTGTAAGAGGTTCAAGATTCATATATGGGGGGTGACAATTTTGATCCCAACGGAATGCAAAAGCATCGGATAAATAAATCGTGTGTCCAAAATCACCCAAAATAAACAAAAATAAAGCTACACAACCCTCTCTGTTCAACGGAGTGAATTAACTGAGAATCGTCTATAATGTTAATAAGATTGGCATGACATAATGCTAAATGTGCAGGTTGTGGGTGTAACTGGTTTGATTTCGACGAAACTCAGACAGATGTGCCAGAGGTGGATGTGTTGTAGGTTTCTCAAAAAGTTCAGTTTTTTTAACTGAATAGTTGTTTTTGTTATTATCATATGTATACCCGTCAAGTTTGTGGGTGTTGGAGAAGGCGTGGAGGATTTCCACCAGTTTGACGCCATTTTTAGAGTTTGTTAAGCTTCAAGCTCGGCGATCTGTTGCTTTTATGAGGCGATCTCCTCAGCCTCCTTTTGGTGTATTCTAATTTGATGATTTGCTATTGGATATCTTCTTGCTTGTTGCTTGACATGTTAGATACCAATATGGTGTTGAAAGCTCATATTGGCACCAGAGTGGCCTTAACTTTCACCCATGCTTTCACGATCTTTCTGACGATCGGGCTTTTGTTTATCGTTGCTCCTGTCACGAGATTCATGGTTTTCATGAGAGTCGGCTTCTTGGGACAGTGAAATAAAGGTTTTCTCTGGATTGGGATTTTGTGGAGGATTGTCTAGAGGGTTATTGCAAAGCATTTGGGAGAAGAGTTCATTAAGGCCTTTAACAAAACTGGGGTTTTGAAGATTTGCGCGACATTAGGATGAGGGTGAGCATGATTTGATGCGGACGTGGCTAAGTAATTTTGAGGAAAAGATTCACCAAAACCCTTGATTGGATATTGGGCTCTTTCTTTAGCGCCAATTTGTTGACAACTCGTGGTCAACAACAAAATTTATGTAGGTTAAGGATACTTTAGTATGAAGTTGAAGAAAAACTGAATCAAAAGGGAGATCGGAAGTAGCAGGGGCGAAGCTGCACCTTGCCGCTGGGGTCAGCTGACCCATATAGATTTCAAAATTTTTAGTATAAAATACTGTTCAAACACTGTTTACTAGGTTAATGACCCCACTAAAAAATATTGCTGACCCCGATGAATGATGAGGCTGGCTCCGCCCCTGGGAAGTAGTATGAGAAATCGTCATAAACCTGTACGTGAGTACTTGTGTATCGGAAAGAATGTTTTTGGATGATTTTTTGTATGATCGTATTGTTGTTGTTTTCATGCCACCTTAAAGGCTAAGTGGTTGACACGAGTTGCCATGCAAACATCTGACTTTTAAGGATGGGACGCTCGTTTGGGCTTTTGAAATGAATCTTGGACCAACCCAACCAAGGTGGTTTATTCTTTGTACTTAACAAAAACCAATGTAATTCGATTCCATTCCAACCAGACGCGAAAGGATTTAAAAAACATTTTTGCCAAAAATAATTAAATTATTATCAAATCCTATTAAGGGAGGGCCAAAAAAAAATAAAAAAATCATTAAGCTGGACCCGCGGACTTCTGTTCCCCGCCCCGGCAGAACTGGGTTGACCCGCTGTGCATCCTCTCGATCACGAAGTGGGCCATCGTCGTATCCTTAGACGGCCTCACCAGATTCTCCCTGCAAAGAAACTCGTCGCTGGCGACCCTATCCGCCTCCATATTATAGTCGTGAACGAACACGTGAGTCCTTGGATTCCCGCCCGCCCTCTTGCTCCTCGCCAGCACCCCCGCCGTAAAAATCGCGGCCATCCGTCCGGGCGCGTCCGGCCAGTACCCCCTCGGCCCGTCCACAAGGATGACGTCCCAGTCGACCTCGTACAGCTGGTTGGGCAGGTCGTTGAGCCCCAGACGGCACTCCGAGAAGAGCAGGTTCTGCACGGGACGACACTCGTTGCGCGCTGCGTCCCGTGCAGCCCGCACGAGCTCGGCCGCATCGGCCAGCCGCGTCCCGTACTGGACATCGTACGCCTCGACATCCGGGTAGCGCTCCTCCACGTGGGCCGCGTAGTACCGGTTCTCGTCGATGAACACGGTGCGGCCCGCGTGGTTGAGGGCCCGCCAGAGGAGGGTCTCGTGGGTGAGGCCGAAGACTAGGAGGCTGCACGGGGAGGACGGGCACTGGCGGAGAGCGTCCGCCACCTGGCGGGCATCCGTGTGGGGCATTCGGTCGGAGGAGGCATTGACGGCGGGGGAAGAGGCGTAGTGGAGGAGGGCACGGGAGACAGACGGGGGGAGGGACGAGGACGGGACGGGAAGAGAAGGCACGGAGACGGGGGAAATGGAGGAGGAGGAGTCACGGGTGGTGTAGAGGAGGGTGGCGAGGGACACGAGGGTGGCGAGGGACACGAGGGAGAGTAGCCAGAAGCGGGTGCTGGGACTGCCTTGCTTCTGGATGTAAGGGTGGAGGAGAATGAGCTTCGTCCCGTTAGTAACAAGATTGTTCTTCATATTTTTATCTTCAATGAAAGAAAATACAAAAGGAGGTGGAGGGATTGAAGATGGATATTGATGGAATTTGGAGGAGATTTTTAAAAGAAAACTTTTGAGGGTGGGGTGGAGCTAACATGATGAGAATGTTTCACCTAAAAAACAAGGAGACTTTTTGGAAGACAACTGACCTTGAGGTTGGGGTGTTTGTGTCCGGAGCTAACATGATGAGGACCTATGAACTGTGATTATTGTTATCCCTTTTAACATATTAATTAATTAATCACCTTTTTTTTTTTTTTGTTGTGGTACAAATTAACATATTAATCACTTTGTTATGTGTGATTGTGAGTCCAATTATGTTCAAACAAGGACAAGATTGTGAGTCCAATTTCAAACAAGAACAATGAGGAGAGGGGTATTCAAACAATCTAAATTTTTTTTATTAATTATATGGATCACTATCAGTTGTATTATGATTTTTAATATTATATAGTATTTATTTATTTAATTTTTAAATAAAAAATCGGTTTGTGCATTGCGCTATATATTATGTAGTAGTTTGTAGACGGTAATATCATAATCTTACACTTTTTGACAAACTTTTGAAAATTAGAAAAAAAAAAAA